TTCATTGTTTTAATATCCAGTAAGTATTGAATTTTGCTTTATGTAGATATATGTGAATATTTGAGTGATTTGTGGAAGTACACATTAATCTCTCTCTCTCTCTCTATGCGTATATTGATGGATTTGATTGTAAAAAGTGCTTTGGGATAACACAGTAAATTTCAGAATTGATCTCCTTATAGTTCTCTGTTACTACAAAAAATTGTGTCTTATTGTGTGATGCAGTATGTATGGAGTTTTGTTTTATGTTGATATATGTGAATGTTTGAGTGATTTCTGGAAGTACATGTTAATCTCTCTTATGTGTATATTGATGGATTTGATTGTTAAAAAGTGCCTTGGGATAGTTCTACACAGTAAACTTCATAATTGATCTCCTTATAGTTTCTTGCTGTTCTACAAAAACTCGTGTCTTATTGTGTGTTGCAGTATGTATGTAATTTTGTTTTAGGTAGATATATGTGAATATTTGAATGATTTCTAGAAGTATACATTGATTTCTCTATGTGAATATTGATGGACTTGATCGTTAAAAGTGCCCATGGATAGTTGTATAGAGTAAATTTCATAATTAAGCTCCGTATAGTTCTATGTTGTTACTACAAAAACTCGTGTCTTATTGTGTGTTGATGAATGTATCGAATGTTGATTCAGTTGTGCGTGATTTAGAAAGTCACGGTGTATACTTTTTAATCTGTGCATTAATTTAGAAAAAAATGTTGAAATAATCTCAACACCGAAGTTTAGGTATGCCTCAATCCTAAGCTAGTTGCAATCAACATATAAATCTCACTTTCCATTTTGCTCTACTTGGACGCAATTGTCATGATATACATCATTCGGATGAAAAGGTGGTAAATTAGATGTTCTGGAAAAATATATTCCAAGGGATCCGCTGTGTACTCCTGCTTCCCGCCTTTTGCCTATTTATAATGCAATCAGTCGGTCTTCTTGGAATATTGTCTTAAAGGATAAATTGATTGAATGTTTAATTTGGATTTCAGAGCCGCAAGGAGGTTGAAGGTTCTTTCTTTGTAGTTAAGAGGTATGCTTGCAATATTCCACGCACCTGGTTTTGTTTTCTATTTAAATGTAAAGTGTTTATATCTGGCTTTGTTTCATATGTCGGTGTATCAGATTTAGCAGGTATTTTCTGTTAAGGTGCTTGCGTGAACATTCATATACATGGCAAAGTTCCCAAGCCAAACTGGTCTAGCCCCAATTTAGGAGTTCAAGGGCTCAGAGCGGTGAACCAGCCCGAACCTGACCTTAAACCCTTGGGAGGGGTATAGTCTCGGACCCCCTTTTTTGATACTAGTCTTAGACCATTTTTTCCCTCTTAAGAAATTTAATTGAAGAATCTAGGGATGATTTATATAAAAGAAAATTGTGTTCCCTTAGAATAACTTACTTACACACAAGTAGATGATCATAAATAAAAAAATAATTCAAGAAAGAGATTGGACAATAGTAAGAAATTAGAAATATGAACAATATTTAATGCATTGGAACTTGAATTAATAGTCTTAACTTGCCTAGATACCAAAAAAGCACATCTATTCTAAAAGGGTTCGGTGGGTTTGTTTTGCTTCTGAAATTGACATAGTTCTCATCCATATAAATTAGCAATAACTCTTCTAATTTGTAACCGTGAATGTAGGAATGTTTCGGTACGGTGTCAATGAATTCATTCAATTAGGGAATTTGGGGTTAATGTGTAGGCATCTAACTAGCCGTTGCCACTCTCCCCCCCCTCCCCTTTGAACACCGTTCAGTCCATGGGCCTTGTACCGTGTGGCTGGCCTAGCAAGTCCCACGGGCCAGACTGCCCTTCATGGAGTTTAGGTTGGTGGGTTACCCCGTATCAGTCCACCCCCTTAGTGGGCCGGACTTGTTCAGTTCGTGGATTGGACAAGCGTACTTAGGGGTCATTTGGTAGAGTGTATTAGGAAAAATAATGCCTTGTGTATTACTAGTACCTTGTTTGGTACTCTTTTCCAACGAACCTATGCATTAGTTATACACTCTATTGTGTATTAAGGTGTGCATTGCTAATACTATGGGCAATTGTTTTAATGCATGCATTAACATGATAAAAGACCCAATTGCCCCTCAAAACCTTTTTTACATCTTTTCCACCATAATAGTGGAGGGTATCTTTGTAAATAATTTTTTTATAACGCATCAAACCAAACAATGCATTAAAATAATCTATGTATAATTAATGCAAGCATAACTAATACATGCATTGCTAATACAAGCATTTATAATACACTCTATTTAGCATTATTCTTTTACACTCTGCCAAACCACCCCTTAAAGTTAAATTTTTTCGTAAGGAGATGTCTAGTGTTTTGTCAAAAAACTGTTTCTGATTCAACTTTTGTCCGAAACTATTATCACGCTGTGCAAATACCATATAATTATGTGATGGCTTCTTTGGTTTTTAGGTTATTTTTCATGTAATATTTTGGAAATCTGATGGTTTTTGATGGATTGTGTGCCTATAAGGAGATTGAATTACCAGATTTCGTTGTTGTTGGTTATGTTATTTTAGGAGTGCTCAGCCAAGGTTCCAGTTCATTGTTATGAACCGCAGGAGTGCAGGTATTATCCCATTTCTTCTTTTAATAATATATTGCGGGCCTCTCCTTCTCAATTCGTAGGGGAAAACATTAAGAATTCTTTATTTTAATTTGTCCCATTTATGATGTTCGAATGTAATGCCTCATATGAATGATTTCCTATTTGACGTCTGAGTTCATATGAAGCAGAAAATATGGTGGAAGATCTCTTGGGGGACTTTGAGTTTGAGGTTCAGGTTCCATACTTGTTGTATCGCAATGCAGCCCAAGAAGTCAATGGTATTTGGTTTTACAATGCACATGAAATTGAGGAGGTTGCAAATCTCTTTGGCAGGTTGGCATCTTCTTCAGTCTTCATACTCAAGCTATATTTATGGGTGGAGCTTTATCTCTTGTAATTGTAGATGAAGGTTGAGATTATTGCAATGGAGATCTATGATGTTGGTGAACACATTTGTGTAGATTAATTAATTATTCTCTCCAATCAATATCAAACAACTGTTATGGTGGTGGATTTTGTAGATATTTTTGATAAGATAAGTAATTTTATTAATGTTAGGTTCCCGTATACAAAAAGTGTACAAAAAAGTAGAGAAACCTAGACCAAAATATGTTTCTCTGCAAAAGTTATTCAGTCATATATACACACAAGAACTCTCGGGTGTACCTAAAGGTAACTAGAGACACGAGGCTACAAAATCTTTCTTGACCTCTTCAAACGCTCTCCTATTCCTCCACCTTCACATTATCCACATAATAGCTAGTAGTGCTACATCCCATGCACTGCATCTTCTCTTCTTTCTTCTAAAACCGCATGTATAGTGCCTCATTTACCATGCTCGGCTCACCTATTGTATTACGAACCAATTCATAACCTCCCACCACAAGCATGTAGCAACTTGACATTGTTATAAGAGATGATCTTACATCTTCTCCCTGAACATCTACACATATAAAAACAGTTGAATTATTCTTGTAGACATTTATGATAGAGAGCAAAACAAATAAGTGAACAACCTACTTGCAGAAAATGTTAAGGGCTGGTAATTATTCTTGTATTTCGAATTACTTGTGGTTGACTGTTATTATTGTAACTAGGCTGAATTGATTATAAAATGGATGGTAGTATGAGTTTTCTTTGACAAGGATAGCCATGATAGGGTCTTTCTATCAAAAGGCATTAAGTTGAAGGCTGCTATAAATGAAATATTTTAAATTTCGAAGCTTGTTTAGTCAAATTATGACATACCTTAGGCTTTAAATATGTAATCTCAATGACATCTAACATTTATTTTAGCGCGATGGTTATGTTGCCAGTTTCTTTGGTCTATTTTTTCCTTGAGCCGTGGATCTATTGGAAACAGTCTCTCTACCTCTGAGGTAGGGGTAAGGTCTGCGTACACTCTACCTGCCCCAGACCCCACTTTGTGGGACTATTTTGGGTATGTTGTTGTTGTTGGTTATGTTGCCAGTCTCTGTTAAGTATTCAGTTCTGAGTTTTTGTTAATGAAGGTGTCTAATTTGTATGGAATCCATTTCTTCTTTGTGTTACATGATATAAATGGCATTATCTTATAGGAATAACAGTTAGTTGTTGTGTTATATTGGTAACTAACTTGATAAAAGAAGTTTGTTATATCGGTTGATGGAAATGACATCAAAGACGATTTATTGTTAGTTTGTTTTAGTGGTGCAGGGCATGTGAAGTAATTGGGTCATTTTTCTTACGTAATCATGGCGCATAATCTGCAACTTGTATAATTTTACTTTGATGTGGTGGATTCCAGAATTTTAGGTGAATACTCAAAGGTTCCCCTGAGGCCACAGCTAAGAAAAAGGTGCGGCATCATAGATTCTTCCCCTGGTTCCTTAATTTGTTTGGAAATTAAGATGTTTGTCAAGCGATTTCCTTATAAGCACAAGTTATTTGCCACAACTCATGAATATTCTTGTTTCTGGTGAAGCTATAGCATTTCCGTATTTTAGTACATGGTAAGGAACTGTTTCATTGCTACAGCATGATAGAGGATAAGTATTAAGAATCAGTTTGATGTGAGGCATAAGAAAAATAATCTCTGCAAAATTGTGCTTATCAATTGTTGGTTCCTATGTAATCATACATGTATTACTTTGTGGAATATCAATACGCATATTAGTACCTTCAACCTTCATAGTGTTGTGTTATGTTCTTCGTTGAGTTTGTATGAATTCCAAGTTATTTTAGGTCTTCAAAGATATTTTCCTTTGATATGTGAATCGGTGAATGTATACCATCTATTTTTAGCACTCTTAACTATCCCAACATTGTGACAACAGATTAGTTAATTTGGAAGTCTCCGTGAGATAAATTGGTACCATCTCTGATGACCTCTCTCATGTTATGCTTTATGCAATGACACTTGCACCCTCTAGGGGATGGGATCATTTCTAATCATGTCTAATTTTGTATGATGACATATCTATCCTAACATCTGTATTTTGACGGTTCTCGTTGCCCAACATTCACTTCTATATAAATAAACCTTGTTGGCCTTAGAATTGGTCTGTAGAACTTTTTTGTCACTTTGATAGGTTTCATATCGTATTTTCTTCCACTTTTGTAGCATTCCTCCGCTACAACCATCCTATTTTACTTCAATATATTCATCAATCAAGTCGTTCTTCTAAAATATATACATTTAATAATTTTTTAATTCGATGATAAAACCAATATACATTCCAACAAAATACTAGTGGACCCCCCCCCCCCCCCCCCAAATAAAATAAAATAAAATATATATATATAAAAAATCTGTTACATCCTTGAGAGAAAGACTGCAAAGAAATTATCTAATTCCCCTTGTCTAAGTTATGCCAGATGGGTACATCTCCTGGTGTCGGATAATTATTCTTTATAAATGGATATAAGGAGTACACATCACAATAGTCTAAATTTTCACCAAAAGGGCTTATGGACACTGGGACCCTATTTGGTTTTAGTAGTTACTTAGCAGATTTTTCTTTTACTTTCAGTAGTTAAGATAGTCAAACGTAAGCTAGTTAACCTACCAGTTTGAGTTTTCCTATTGGCTGTAGGAAATTGTCATGGTAAGTGAGACAACTTTAACAAAAATGAAATGAGTCATTAATATGGATACTGTTGGCAACACTTTCTGCTCATTTCTTCGCTTGTGGAGAGAACATATAATAGAACCCGAACTTTTTACTTCCTAGAGTTGGTCTTTCATTTATGATTTCTCATAGATCTTCAGGATCCAACTTAAACAAAGGCACTTACGGAAGAAAAGAGGAAATCGAGAAATAATCAATGACTTTGTTATCTTGTATCCATTGTCATTTTTCCCTTGTCAGCATATTTGTCCATAAGGGGTGACTAAATCAATGTTTGTTGCTCTTATAAAAAAAGGTCAACGTTTGTTGCTCTTCAGCTATTAATTTCTGTGTTTCTTGATTTTCTCCCCCTTCTTTGGTGCGGTTTTGTTTCTACTCTAATTTTTAACTTATCCTGATGTTTTTAAGTGCAGTGAGTTTACAGAACATGAGGTGGTCCCAATGAGTACAGCAATAGAAGGGTCATCTGGACTGGCATTTACCACCTCTACGAATGGGTTTGGTGCTGATGATTCTTCCTTTATGAACTTTTTCAATGTATGTAGTATGTACTCAACCTTCCTATGATATTGATGTATAATTTCCCGTCTAACATCTAAAACTGTCAAGTTTAAAACTTTAGCATCTGTTCATGAACTTTAAACCGAAAAGAAGCTTCTGTTTATTGCCAAATGGTGTTAAGCCTCTGTCTACCTTATTTGCTTTATTTGTACATTTCTACCTATTGGCTTCTCCAGTCACTCAATTTGTGCAGTGCAAGGTGTCAATTTGCTGTCCCTTGTACATTTTCTTAAAATGTTGCCGCCTGAGATTTTCTTGGTCAAAGATTTTGTTATATTCTTGTAACAACTTGTAATGCATGTATATTCTTTGATCATTTACAGATACCATCCATTACCAGGATAAATGTTTGAATAAGCCTAACATTTTCATGCATGCCTTCGTTAGGTGATTTAATTGCATATTCACCCCCTTTCCCAAAAACAAAAAATCATGAGGAACACTGTTCTATCCCGGGAATTTGGGGGAAACATTTATGTCCAAAAGAGATGACTATGGGTTGACTAATGATGATTATGATACCAAGTGGATGGAAATGAATATGAGAAATCATAGTATGGAATCTTTTCTGTGAGGAATATAAAATTCTCGAGGATCCAAGAATTTATTCTCTGTTACTAACTGAAACTGTTTGAGGGCTTCACTTGGAGACTAGCATATTTTGAAGAAAACGAGGTTATACTGAAGCTGGCTTTTCTGAGATAGTGTAGTTAGGGGAATAAAATGCATCTTTTTCTTCAGGATATGAGTGAGGCTGCATTAGTAGATGAATGCATCATGGAAGATCAATAAGAATGTCTTCTAGTTTAGTAAACATTGGCTTTAAAATACTGGGCAGTCTTCCCCTACTGCCCCTCCTCCTTGGGGTGTAGAAAAGTCCTGAGATTTAATTTTGTTGTTGCAGACTGCTGCAACTATTGGGCATACCTCTTCAACTGTTGTGAACTCCGGACTGCCATATCATTATCCAGTTCAAACTATTGATCCATCAACCCGAGTTCCAAGTCCCCTACCATCTCCTGCTCCAATTTTGCAAGTCTCATTACCTGTTCAGTCAGCTCCATCACTTCCTCCACAGTCACGCCGTGATTCTGCTAACCTGATCAATAGTACTAATTACCCTGCAAATCTTGTGAAGCCTTCTTTCTTTACACCTCCTGTGTCACCTGTATTGGTGACAACTTCTGTCTCCTCAGCTACATCAACTCCTGCCCTTTATCCTCATGTGAATCCACAACGCCCACATGGTACACCTCTAGTTCAACCCTTCCGACCACCTACTTTGCCTCCATTTCTCACTTCTACTCAGATTCCTCCACAAAGTGTGACACTAAGCAGAGAGAAAGTTCAAGACGTGCTTCTAATGCTTGTTCAGGTATATCCAGCCATCCAGGATTTAATTTATGTACTCTGCCTGCTATTCGGATGACTACAATTGTGTTAATTAATTATATATTGTCATTGCTGGGTGCATCTTTTGTGTACTTGAACAGTAATTGAATTCCATTCAGCTGCATAAATCTTGATCATTTTATCCATAAAATTTGTGGACATGACTTATTATCGAAACTGCTTCTTTGCAAACACATTCAGATTTTGGAGGGTTCAACATTTGTAACTTCAATCTAACTTGTGTTTACAATCATAGGATCCGTGTAAATGACTAAGTTTAAAATGCATATGCTAGCTCTGAGTTCTTTCTCTTTGGAGGGGGGGGATGAATGCTAGATCTAAGTTCACTAAAATTTTTGGTTAAATAATTAAAAGATATCTGTTATGTTGTAGAGTTACATCCTAGGTGGCTTGTTTAAATTTTTAACTTTTACTGATGAAGCATCAGTTAGTATAAGATGCCCAGTCAAATTAATTCTTGGTTTTGACTTCATATTTCTTCTTATGTGCAATTTCCTTTTCAATGTTTAGAGAGCTATGGTCCCCATTTGCTGTCTAAACAAGTGAAAAGTTTCTTTCTGTAAAGAGTCTCCCTAAGTTCTGGATCTCATTTTCGATTGGATCTATTTTACACGTAATCTCAAGCTTGACCTGTAACTTGGCACATTGCACCACCAGCGTGTTCCTGAATATACTGAAAAATGTTTGACCAACCATTGGTGAATGGTTGAGATGAAGAATGCCTTGGCATACGATGATCATGATAGATTTTAGTAATTGTATCATTGTTGTTTCATCAATAACATGCAGCTCACATACAGGATATTTTCTGAATTTTCTATTATTTGAAGAAAAAATGATTGTTTTCTTAATTTTTTTGCAGGACAATCAGTTTATCGACTTGGTCTACCAAAAGTTGCTTAATGCACATTCATGATTCCTTGAGAAGTGTGGTGATGTTGTAAATCTGGCACCATGTATGAGTAGTTTGTACATATTTGTTTCTTGTGCTGGGGATTTGGACTTATCTTCTTTTCACCTCATGAGGGGATTGACTAGACCTATGACTTGATGTAATATATGAAACTTGGACAATCCTCAACCAATCCTGATGAAAGTGTATGAACAAGTGAATATCGATAACAGCAAACCTTTAAACATTTCTGTAAATTCTATGCGGAGTTTTGATAGAATTTGTTGGACATCATGGCTTTGGTCTGTGGAATCATTGATGTTCACCAAGTTTGGTTTTCATTCAACTGTTAAGATGCATTGATACGAGCAGAATGATTATGTTCTTCATTCGGTGCATTCATGAACTGTCTCACGACTTTCACAACATTAGCTATATGTGGCTTGACAGATACATTAATCTCCCAACTAGCCTTTGATACCAAACAATATTTGTTTCCACGGTGTAATCTCAAAAGTGGGGTTTAGGGAACGTATATGTAGACCTTAATCCTATCTTTTGGGTAAAGATTTCAGAACTTGATCAGGCAAAATCTTAAGCATATGATTTATTTCTGTTCAAGTGTTTATATTGGTTTGCACGCAAATATTCCAGTTTTCAGCCAATATATTTAACATTGACATGTAAACTGTGATATCAGCATTGTTTACATTTGTACATCAACCATCTACTAGTTTAATCTTTGTTTAGGTAAAATAGAATTCATCCCGATTAGATTCACCATCTCTTTGTTTGCAAGAAAATCTGGGTTTGCCCCAAGTTCTGGTCATCAATACTTTATACTAGAGAATCGTGAGAAATTTTAAAATTAATATGTAAAAAACTATTAAAAAAAAATAACAAAAAATAATCTTGCATTTATGTAACTTCTAAACGAATTCATATTACCTAAACTGAAATAAATCGTAGCTGAAAGTTTCACAAAAAAAAAATTCTGCAAAATTGACAGTTGTCACAATTTTGACAATACCCAAGGTCAGTAAAAGTTGAGAAAATGTAGTTCTGAAAAGTGAAAACACAAAAAATAATGTAACAACAGCCTAAACTGAAAGCAGGAAGATAAACTTCATTGAGCATTCAAAGGTCGTTTCGTAGCTGACTAAAGTTATGCAATGAAATAATACATAGATTTTCTCATACCTTATACATGTGTTGATTATGCAGTTTTTGAAATTGTCAATCAAACATCATATTAATTTTATACATGAATAACTTATTTCCTATCTACTTACCAAACGTTGTATAAGATGTACGGAAACTAACTACATGGGTAACTTGTTTCGTATCCATCAACCAAATGAATTTACCTTCACATTAGTTTCTTTGAACCATCTGTGTTCTCAGTATCAGACCAACAACATACAACTTTCATAGAATCTTCAAGGCAGCTACCTAAGAAACTTCAAACTTTTTGCATTGATTTGACACAGCCAAGTTGAAGTGGACATTCTGAAGTCAAAACATTATCATATTCCCATGATAATGATGAATGTAATTCAATCACATAAAGACAACAAAGACAGATCTTCAAAAAAATTACAAGATTTTTCCATCTTCCTGTTTTCTCTGGTCCATCTACTCCAACTATTGAGTGTTCATGCTGCAGAATATTTACCACTTCGCATCAAGGGAAGTCGTTTCCTTACCAAGCACCAAAATTAATAGATTGAAGAGAGATATAACCAAGAAGTAGATCCTTCAGATGATGTTTACACAACCCAAGTCGCCTTCTATGTAAACTGGGATGGATACAATTAGAAAATCCAGTCTTCCAACCAGGGAATCTTTGTCTTTCCATCACGTGAAGAGTGTATACACGAGGAGCTGCTGCTGAACATCCTATAACAAAGCAATTGCAAGGACGTGACTGACTCACCGTTCTTGCTAAAGAGAATAAACATATTCCACTGTATGTTATTCCATACATTAAGGCGTCATTATCAACAGCTTCAGAATTTGTTGCTTCACTGGTTATCTCAAGCTCCAGATCTTCAGTTGCAGGAATTCTGCGCAATTCAGAATCAAATTTCTTCTCTATCTCACTCTCATGGATCCTATATTTCATCGCCAGAGTTCTGATGCAAGACAATCTTACTTGATTGCAAATAATGAGCTTTACCTCATTAAAGTTGTCACACTCGGTGTACCATCTCTGCCACCGGCAGATTAAACCTGCATACCAGTCAACAATTTCATTGTCATCCCAAAAAACTAGCAGATGACATGGCTGGGAATAACCTTTGGAGTTTGTCAATCCATATCGAAAAAGCCGCTTCTTTATGATGCTGATTGGGGCTATGATCTGTGTCGTAAATGATGAACAGTTGGAGTTTGGCAACAGGGCAAGAGTCGAAGCTGTCTCAGAAGATATATATTCCTGAACACGCTTCTGGAACTCATAATATGAATCTCTTAGATCTTGAGGGAGAGCTGGTTCAACTACATGCTTAGATAAGATAACATCCTCGTTTGTTTGGCAATTAATATTTTTATTTTGCATCCAAACTTTTAGCAAGACTTTATACCAATGATCCGTTTCCATCCCATCTTTTCGAAAACACGAAATTTGGGTCAAAAGGGAGCTACCATCAGAGAGATGCTTAATCTCTGATTCTTTTACCTTCTTCAACCCATGAGCCAGCCATTTCTTTCCAATTCTTGCTGTCCCAGTGTCCCACGAGTGCTCTTTCTGCGAAGCAAATAATTCTACTTTCTCCTTCAATTTGTGAACGGCCTTTACAGCCGGACTCTCTTTCAGGCTTCTTTTAACCACACTACCCAGAAAGCGAATGCCAGTAGGCCCATCACATGGAAAAACATCTATTTCATTTTCAAATTCTAAATGAAGAGAATTCTTAAAGTAATTTTCAGTTTCAGACTTGATAGCAACAGCCACGTCTTTGGGACCAGAGATGGCAATAAGAATCTCATCCATGAAGCGGCAACAATGCACCCTAATTTCAGAGTAGCCCAAATCATGGCATTCTTGAGAGCCATTACCAGATATCTGTCTCCTGAACCAACTGCGTAACACAGAGTTGGGTGCACTTTCTTCAGCGCTTGATCCTTTATCAATAGCTTCATATCTCATTGACAACCTGTACATTTCATGATCAAATAGATCAAGATATATGTTCATTAAAATTGGAGACAATGCTCCTTCTTGTGGGAGACCATGTCCTTTTGGAAAGCCCCCAAATTCTAAATTCAATACTCCACAGTCAAACATACTACGTATTATCGTATATAGGAAAGGATCATCTATCTTGTCTTCCATAACTGAAAAGAGCTTAGCTACGATTTGATTGTCAAGCTTTCTGCAAACTGGCAAGGTGAACCACCACTTTGGATTAATTATCTCTTTGCGAATGTACTTAAGAGCAGATAAATGGCTCCTACCACTACGACAACCGTGCGATATCTTAGAAAAGTGAGGTCGGTAGACAACTTCTAAAACTATTCTGATTGCTTCCTCAACAACTTTGAGTTTAACATTTGGAAAGACAAGGACTTCTTTCTTTGCTCCCTTAGTTGAGATCGAATATGTGTTAGCACTAACATCAAAACACCCACAAGAAAGCTCTTCAGCCATGGCTTCAAAAGGCAAATCCTCGCCATTAGATGCTAGATCAACATTAGAACTCAATCGAATACAATCATAAGCATCACAAAGTGTTTTTGGATTGGCAACCACTTTCTTTATGAGGTTTTGAAACTTCCCATTTACATACTGTTCCTTAACTCTCTTTTTTATGCGTAGTTCAAGTAATCTTTTATGTTCCGCACGATTCATAGGTTTAGACTCATCAAGATTATAAGACTCTTCCACCAAGTTCGCTAATTTTTGTGCCAGCGACGCTCCATGTTTCACACCCCCCGAATTCTCAACCAACTTCTCAACCATAGGCACCAATCTCTTAGATACTTGGGATTTTTTCTCCTCTAAGTTCAAAGATTCCTGAACCAAACCAGCTAGGTCCTGAGCTAGTTTTAGTTTGACAATCTTCTCATCACGAGTATGACATCCAACTTGACTAGCATTAAAATGAAGTGAATAACCAAGAAATCCTACAACAGGCCTCCCTGTCACATTTAACCAAGATTAGAAACAGATGAATTCTTCCTAATGACCTTAATTCTATAATACAAATGAAGAGGAGTACTTTATACATATAGGTGTGATTGTATGGCTAGAAAAATATTTTTCGAAATGAATTATTTTCCGGTTTTTGGTATTTCAGCAAAAAGGGAGAAAATGCATTCCTTCACAAATAGGTAGACGTCATTTCCTTTCCAAATATCCCAACTTTTACTCCATATTAACCAACAAAGTGAGATGCTTTTCCAATCTTTAGTACCAAAAAATGTCACGAAAATACTTTGCCATACATATCCTCCAATCTTCCACCTTGTATGAATATCATATGATGCTGAGCCAGGATTTTCATTAAACGGGTTCAAAATCAAGTAACATATGAACTAGCCAAGCGAGTTCGACATCTACCATATATGCATAAAAAAAATTAACAATGTATAAATAGTACTCCCTCCGTCCCATTTTGCGTGGCACTTTTTGGATTTCGAGTCTAGCTTTGACCGTAAGTTTTTCATAGATATTTTAAACATTTTGAATTATCAATTATTGTGACTTATAGTACTTTATACGTAGTTTACATATATATAAATTTCATTTCAAAAAAAATTGAAGATTCTATGCACAAATTTCCAATCAAACTTAAATCGTTGCTCGAAAATGAAAAGTGTTGCATAAATTGGAACGGAGGAAATTCCGCCCAATAACAACAACATGGCCAGTGAAATCTCACATAGGATGAGTAACACTTAAAACCTTGGGGTAAAAGAAGATTATATGAATTAATTTCTATATACATATATATAAAAAAAAAGGAATAGTGGAAAGAGCATTACCAATACCAGAAGAAGAATTGCGGCCGAGAAAGTGAAGACTTCGGAGAAGAGAAGTACATTTATGGACCATATTATACAGTCCGAACGGAGACTGAGAAACAAACGGAAAGAGAAGGGAATAAGGGCTCGTTTGCACATAACTTTTCTTTTCCTTGTGTTTTTTTTTTTTTTGCTTTGCTTTGGATATTTATTGTGTCAATTTTGTCATCAAATACACTCTAGCATAGCAAAACTAATGTAGTTTTGATTTGATACGGAATTGTGAAAGAAAAATAAAAAGAGAAGTATTGAAAACAATTATAAACTAGATGTGAATTATTAGTTTCATCCCTAAATTACTGACAGTTTTATATACACATCTTTAGTTAACTAACTGAACTTAAATACACCTACGATCTTACGATATGAGTGAAATACACTCCTAAATTTTCGTCAAGTTTAGGGGGTTTTCAACGCTTCTCTCCGCTTTTTATTAAGAGTTACATGTTATACAAGATTTTGAGACCACTTGCTATGTCTTGTGGCAAATCAGAGATTATCGGGATGTATTTAAGTTTAGTTAGTCAAGTAGAGGGGTGTTTTAAGGTTGTCAATAGTTCAGAAATGAAACTAGTAATTTGCGTCAAGTTTAGGAATGTTTTTAACACTTCTCTCAAAATAAAATAATAAAATTTATTATCTAATATAAATTGTGTGATTATAAATTATTTGATTAAGAACAAAATAGATAAAGTTAAATTAGATTATATAAAAAATGTGTCATTCTTTTTTAAAGTGACTGAAAATCTATTTGAATTGATTTACTTTAAGTGTTTATAAGTTAAAAATAATTTTTACAATGTTTGGGTATAATAATAAAAAATACTTAATAAAATAACAAAAATAATCTAAAAGTCATAAGTTAGAAATTACAGCTTCTCTCGGTCTTCTAGTTTGAATAAATAATCAACTATGGGTTGAAAGTCATACTTTGTAGATAATGATTCTACAAAGTATAAATATAAAAGATTTGATTCGATACTAATGAAACACTTTTATGATATTAGGTATTGATGTTGAAGTGGTAAATTGAATTTAAACAATATATAAATTGATCAATAAATTAATCACTTACCCGTTAACATAGTTATTCGTTAAGGTAATATAAATTGATTTATTCATTACATTGAAATTGAATATACAAATTAGATCGTGATGAATGAAACTCCACCAACCAAAAACTAGTCATATGAGTAATTCACTATTTTAATTCATTACAAGGAAGAATTAATAGTTAAAATACAGCAAAAATATCAAAAAAATATATATTTAGAATCTCATGTCTCAATTATTCATCATTTTTCATTATTTATCTAAACTATTAATCCCTTCGTGTTAAAACACATCTTATTGAGCTAATAAATATTTATTCTTATTTGATAATAAGTTTTATAATTAACTTAATATTAAAGTGCATTTTAGTATAAAGTAAATTACAAATTACAATTAAGATATAAAACTTGTAAATAGATAATAACTTGAATATAAAAATATAGTAGGATAGTTCAAAGTATGAAAGTCTGCTAATTTATATGTTACTGCAATTTTACTCTCTAATGAATGAGGTATATACGAAGTGAATTCAAATTAATTAAACTCGCGTATAAATATTAATTATTGATTAAGAATTATGTGATACAAATCTAAATTAATCACGCTATAATATAGATACAAAATACTTTGTGAGATAAAAAAATTCTATAATAAATAATGTGAAATTATTTATTACTCTCTTCGTGTTAAAATACGATTAGCCATCATTCTCGTAATCTATCTAAACTATTACTTTCTTCATGTTAAAACACATCGTAACGTTGGGTTGATGAATTTTAATTCCCAATTGGTTGTAAGTGTGTATAGTCAACTCAATATCAAAGTGTTTTCAATATAAGGCGAGTTATAGTTATAATATCGCCAAAAATAATAATTTAAATAGATAATATAATAAGATAAGATTGTTAAAATATGAAACTCTATTATTTACATGCGATGCAATTTAATTCTATAATGGTTTTTTTTGGAACCTTAGGATAATCTGATCCGTTACAATCTCTGTCACAGTCTCTGTCCTTCGGGTGAACACTTTGTGCACACTGGGTAAAACGTAAACCTCCCGCTGTGTAATAGCCTGCAAACCGCACTAGGCAAGTCCTATGCGACATAATCGACTCAGAAAGCATTGAGAGGATCTATCTCGAATCATCGTGTGAATAACCACCCTCCAAACCAATTGCGCCATTTCGAAGGACAATTCTATAATGAATTACTGATGCGAATTTGATTAATTAAACTTTTATACAAATATCAATTATAAAATAAGAACTAAGAAATATACATCAAAATTAGTCGAGCCCCAATACAAATACAAAACAGGAGATGGGTACCAAAAAAACACTATAATAAAATGTGAAGTTATGGAGACATAGGAATTATGTGATGAATTGTCTCCCCACGTCTACGGATAAACCCTTTGTGTCACGTCTATTTACAAAAAACTTTCAGCTTGCATTTTCATTTCTCTTGACAAAAGTTAATCGTTTTATTTCTCCCTTCTCGAACACTCAAAAGCATCTTTGAAGCTGATGTCGTTGAAGCTCCACCATCAGAATCTTCCTTCCTCTAGGTGATTTTCATCCTGTGTAATCTGCTTCAGTTTTCTAGCTATTGATTGATTATCATCATGTTGAATCGTTAATTGATTCGAAAAGCTGCAATAGTAAATCATTTAAGTAGGATTTTTTGATGCTAAACCTAAATTAACTCAATAAGTTGCTCTGTACAGCTAGAAATTCTGCTTGCTGTTGTGAATAATATTTATCAAATTTACCGTAATATTTGGATGATGAGTAAAACTGACCATTTTTTGTGCTGGTAAAATGTTTTGAGTCATAGTGAAGTGGTTGAGTGTTATGAGGTCTTAGGTTGGAATTCTTGCTGAGACAAAAAAAATACTAGGTGATATTTCACATGTGTCAAAGCCTTGGGGGACAGAGTTAACGGGTACTTGTTGCTGGTGGGAGGTATCTTATTATGGAAGGGTTTTGTTGTAAAGCTGGAGTTTGTCAGTTACTAAACTTATTTCTGAATTCTGCTGCATATGAGTTTCTTATATCAGTGTAGCCTGAGATTGAACACATTCTCTCTCTCATTTGGTTAAAGGAAAACTTGAATCTGTTACTTTATCTACTCCAGTTGTGAGTTATAACAAGCTTAGGAATAAAGAAAATTGTTTGTTACGGTCTTGCTAATGCGCGACACACTTAGGCTTTGGTTCAAGTTCAACAGCAAAAGTAGTACAGTGTGGTCCCACAAGTGGGGTATAGGGAGGGTGGGGTGTACGTAGACCTTACCCCTACTTTTGTGGGGTAGAGAGCTGTTCCCAAAGGACCCTTGGCTCAAGAAAATGAATCTTGATTGGTTGTACAAATGGGGGATATGTGTTCGACGCATATCACGGGTTTGAATCCTGACTGGTGAGCCAAGTTTGTTATTTAAGTGGAGCAGGGTAGAGGGCTGGATGTATTTTTGCCATTATCTGCCGAGTTTCTAAGTTGGGAAAGCGGATTTCTCAGTTATCAAGAAAAAGAAAGAAAAGAAAGTAAACTAGTAAGCACCACCCGAACTTGGATTGTTCTTCACTTCACCCCAAACCTTCCCAAATGTTATCCCTAATTTGGATTTTGGATCGTGGCTAGTGTTTACTAACTACTTGTGGTACTTCCCTGTATTAATGTGTCCGGAAATGATGATCTTGAAGTTGTGACATCTTGAATAATGGGTTTAATTTTGAAGTTTCACTATACGAATCCTTATCAATCTGGAATGACGTACTTGAAAGATGGAGAAAAAGTTGACGAATTGGAAATGACAATACCTCTCTCTTTTTTTTTTTTTTTTAATACCTCTCTCTTGATGGTAAAATCACTATGATCAACAGTGTTCTTAGTGCACTGCCTGCCTACCTACATTATGTCACTTTTCCCCGCACAGTCCTCAATTTTGAAGCGTATGGACAAATTAAGGAGAGACTTTCTCTGGAATGGTAACAAACAAGGGTAATTCTTTGCTCTTGTAAAATGGATTACAGTTATTAAAGATATGAGAATGGGGGAGGGGGTTGGGAATCAAGAACCTGAGGCCGTCACAATGAAAGTTTATTATTGAAATGGCACTGGAGATTCAATAAGGAAGATTAATCACTCTGGAGGAGAACCTTGGTTGGAAAGTTCTCTATGGAGAATCAATGGTTCACCAAAGTAGCCGCAACACCTCATGGCACGAGAGTCTGGAAGCATATTAGAGGGTGCTGGGAACAACTTTGTGGCTAATATGGGCTTCATTGTTGGTAATGGAAGGAAAATGAAGTTCTGGGCCGATGTATGGCTGGGCCACTCTCCTCTTAAAGAGTAATTCTCGGATACTTTTAGACTATCAACTCATCACAATGTAGTAATTGCGGGATTTTTTTCAACACAAGGGTGAAATCTCTCTCTTAGAAGGAAGGTAATGATTGGGAACTAGAACGAGTATGTCTTTTGCTTCAGCTGCTAAGCAACATAGCTTTAGCTGCAACAAAGCTGATTCTATTAGATGGAAGGGACATCCAAAGGCCTCTTCACAGTCAGAGGCTGCTACAGGAGCTGGAATTAAGCAACAACATGGTTTTTTGGCCTTGGGAAAAAAATTGGCTTAGCAAGGCACCTTTGAAGGTCTCCTGCTTCTCTTGGATTGTGGTTAGAGAGGCTAGTCTCACTCATTCCAACCTTCAAAAGAGGAAAGCTAAGTTTTGTAGTAGGTGCTCCATGTGTGAAGATGTTGGCCACCTCTTCTTGCATTGTAAAGTTGTTACTCAGCTGTGGAGCATGTTTTTATCAATCTTACGCGTGTCCTGGTCCATGCCAAAATCCCCTAGGGAGCTATTGCAATGCTGGAACAAAGAATGGATGTGCAAGAAATCACAAAAGATTTGGAATACCATCCCTCAAGCCATTTGGTGGACTGTTTGACTTGAAAGAAATGACAAAATCTTTAGAGGCCATAGGAGCAATTTGCATTGCCTAAAAAAAAGATGTCTTATTTTTCTAGCTTTTTGGTGCAACCTGGTTATTGGACAGGAGGTTGATGCAATTTTAGATACAATTGGGGATCTACACAATTTGTAGTTATGTTCTCTCGCACTGGCTTAGTGCAAAGCATTTATAAAATATTTTGATTACTTATCATTTTATTTTTTTGAAGTTTCAGCCGTTTATCCTGAATGACATCTTGACTTGTAGTGTCCTGACATTGACAAAGAGATCTGATGATTAATATATTGATCTTTAAGTTGAAGATTCATACAATGACCTGAAAGACTGTGTCGATCATAGATACAGAGGATTGCTGATCACTGATTTAGTTAATGTTTAGCAGAAAAAGTCCTAGTTAATCATTCTTATACTACTTAAATTGGAGTTTCCACAATATCTTATAACCATTGGATCTATCACTATTAAATTCTTCTTAATGTTACATTAACATTTGGCTGATTGTGTTTCTTATATTTCAGTTCTTCTAGTCCATGGCCTTCAGTTAAAGCAGTGAGAAACTATTATTTCAGCAGGAAAGTAGTAGGCTTGGATCACCTGATATACAATCAGTGCAATACAAGGAGGAGATGCCACACAAAATTTTATTTGTTGCAGGGTGGAAATCGTGATCTTAGCTGCACATCTGATTCTATGAAACGTAGGATTAATCCTCGAACATCAAGGATATTACACCTTTTACCTTTTGCTTCTACTGAGGATGGTGTGTCAGTCAATGGCAGTTCCAGACCAACTACCAGCAGTGATATGGAGGATATGAGACTAAAACTAGATCTATCTCTGCAAGGTGAAGAGAACAGTTCTGGACTTGTCCAATCATTGCATGATGCTGCAAGAGTAATTGAGCTGGGACTTAGACAACAAGGCTCATTATCTAGGGTATCCTGGTTTTCAACTGCCTGGTTGGGTGGTGATAGAACTGGTTGGATCAAGGTGCTATCTTATCAGGTCGGTAACTTTTATAGTCTTCATTTTTGTACCTTGCTCTACATGTTTTGTTAGTGTTTAGATTTAGTGTGTTCTTCCCCATTACAAACTTGAAAACAGATCTTTTAATGGTGAGAATCACTAATGGATAATTTTTTGATAAAGCATTTTTTTTGACAAAGAATAGACAATTAAAAGTACTTACCATGGAATTTTGATTTCTGGGCTATTGATGGGTTATATTTCTGTTCATTACCAGTAGTTTTATGTAGAGATTCATTTTTGCACTGTGTGATGTTATTTTCTGATATGGTGGAGTTCATTGTAACTTCTTTTCAGGCATCTGTATACTCTCTACTGCAAGCAGCAAATGAGATTTTATCTCGAGGAGATGAAAGAGATAATGATATTAATGTTTTCACGCAGAGGAGGTAATTCATTTTACTCTCTTCAATGTAATATGGAAAAACTGTGTACCAAGAGTCAGAAGCATAGGCTTCTGCTTGTTGCAATTTACTAGTGATGCATAATTGATGATTTTGACTACATATAGGGCATAGACTGCATGCGCTGGAAAATAGTTTCCCAATTTTTCTTTATTTGATCGCCTTAAATTGTGAAAATGTCTTTTACAAGTTTAAGTGGTTTCCAACAAAAGAAGGAAAATGAATTCTCTCACATATGGACGGAAGTCTTTTTCCTTAACAAATATTTCATCTCTCACTTTATCACTTGTTTCAATTAACATTTATATATTGTTGTCAGCCTTTAATACTCAAAGATATCAATAGTACACTGTTGTCATCCCTTATTTCTTGTACTGTTTTCCATATGTCACTTGCTTTGATATCCTACCAAATATTAGAAATGATCCAGAAAATTACTTCCTAACGTATGTCATTACCTGTGGAAAATATTTTTGATGAGAAACATTTTCCTCAAAGGCACCCCCATTTTTCTGATTTGTTTGCAAGGTAGAAGTATGAACACGTAGTGTTGGAACTCTAAACATAGTGAACAGATTTGATTTACAAGAAAATTAATCTCTATCCTTAAAACATTTTCATACTTCCCATTTTAATTTTCTGACAATGTGTTCATTTCAGTAACCCTTTCCCGGTAAGTATTTCATACATAATAAATACTATCTACATCTGTGTTTGATTGGGAGCGTGGAGTTTAGGTAAGAAAGAAAAACTTTTTGCATATAGGCTAAATATGTATAACATATCTAAACTACCATTAGAATCTTGTGGTTTTCAATATGTCTATCATTTCTATAAGAACGTTTCATTACTGGTGAAGTAGGGGCCGGCTCATTATACATCGTTTTCTGAACTGTGCGCCACTGGTAAACCCTTGAGGATTTCTCGATTTTTTTTTTTTGATAAAGGTAACATTTGTATATCAATCATCAGCTCAAAGATGGTATCCAAAAATTTACATCATATCCTCCCTCCACACGTGTGTCGGGCATAAACAAAAGATAAAGAAAAGAAAGAAGAAAAAAGAGAACTATCCCTAGATCCTCCTTTCACCTTTATAAGGACCCTAGAATGTCTACAATAGCCACAGGGTCATCTATATACTCTGAACTACACCAATAGCAAAAAGTGATAATGCAGTTCATTTTAATCTTGTGCAGAGGGCTGATCTTGTTATCAAAATTCCTAGAATTCCTTTCTTTCTATATGGTCCACCAAATAACAGCTGGGACAATTTTCCATCTACTCTTGTCTGTGCTGCCACTGCCCTCCATATTCCAGATTTCTAGAGCCTGTCCTGTTCTCCCTGGAATAGTCCAACTTATACCTTTGAAGCTAGAAAACAAATTCCACAACTGGCCAACCACTTTACAATGCAAGAACAGATGATTAACTGTCTCTACAACCTGCTCACAAAAACAACATCTTGGGCACATTTGTATTCCCCTCTTCATAAGATTCTCTTGTGTAAGTACAACCTCTTTCACCACCAACCAAGTAAAAACTACCACTTTATATGGTATTTTAACCTTCCATATAAGTTTCCAAGGCAGAAGGTTAACTTGGGATCCCATCTGATTCATATTTCTATATGCAGAACTAACAGTGAATAAACCTTTATTATGACATTTCCATTTAAGAGTGTCTTCTCCTTCCTTGAATCCTAAGAACTGATCAAGTGTTCCATAAATTCAGCCAACCTTTCCACCTCCCAAGTCTTGCATCAGTCTTCTGTAGGTAAGGTTCCATCCATGTTCAGACCAAACTTCATAAAGAGTCGACTCTTGTTGTTGGTTCAGGTGATGAATATCTGGGAACAAGCGCTTGAGGCTTCCATTCCCTAACCAATTATCTTCCCAAAACCTGATCTTCCTCCCATTGTTCACATTACATTCAGTTTTTGCATAGAAACCATGCCATAAGTTTCTAATTGATCTCCACAAACTGGTTCCATATGTGGATGTCACTTAGTCTTCCAGGGTCCTTCCTTCCCATATTTGGCCTGGATCACCCTACCCCACAAAGATTGTTCTTCTAAAGGAAATCTCCACAACCACTTCATGAGAAGACTTTTGTTCTGCTTCCTAAGATTTTTGATTGCCAGTCCTCCCTGCTTCTTGGATAGTAGCAGTGTCTTCCATTTGACTAGGTGGAAACCTTTATATTCCTTCTCACCGTGCCACAAAAAATTCCTTCTCACCGTGCCACAAAAAATTCCTTCTCAGAGCATCAATTCTTTCTTCCACCTTTGCTGGAAGGGGAACAACTGACATTAAGTAAGTTGGTAATGCATCCAGGACTGAGTTAATCAGCACTAATCTACCACCTCTTGATAAATATTGAGACTTCCACCTAGACAATCTTTTCTCACATCTTTCCACTACTCCATTCCATATCTCCTTGGATTTGCTATTGGCACCCAAAGGCATACCCAAGTATGTTGCTGGTAACTGTCCTATTTCTACACCCAAAATATCCACCAGATTTTGTATTTTGGCACGTCATTGATTGGAAAGATGTGACTCTTCCTCCAATTAATGTGTAACCCTGATACTGACTCAAATAGTATGAGAACTATCCACAAAATTTTTAGTTGGCTGTCTTCTGCATCACAAAAAATCAAAGTGTCATCTGCATATTGCATAAAAAAGAAAATAATTGGGAATGGCTTTGGGAGCTATAGGAAGAGTCCCATTTTTTTGAACTGCTCCTAATAAAGCCTCCGCGACCAGGTTAATTTTTAGTGACCTTCCAGAATGTTGAGCCACTGTAAGAAGAACTTCTGAGAGCTCTCAATCATTTTCATCAGAGGGGCACCTTTACAAAGAGTGTAATGCTTCTTTTATTACTTAAATTATAAAGGAGGATGCAGTAAAATTAAAGATTTTCGACCTATAAACTTGTTGGGATATGTAGGTTGAAAGTGGTATTGTCAAGCAGTTTTGATAGCCAAAACGCGTTTGTGCTGGGGACAAATAACTGATTTTGCTGCCTGTCACGACCCAATCACTGTAGGCCGTGACTGACATCTATTGAGCACCTACCCACCAAGCAGATCAGCATCCGTGACAAGCAAGCATGTTCCATACAGAATCGCACTTTAATAAGTAAAAGTAGTCCATATCATATGCCAAACTCTTGAGTAACTATGCTAAATATTTTTATTGTTGAGTAGTTTGCTACAGACGATAGTACGATTGTCGTAAACGGAGCACAAAACCAACGAAAAAAATTGGCCAACATAGTATCTTTTTTATTGGTATTTCGGCCAACATAATATTTTGGATAGGGATTCATTTCCTCTCTTTTCTCGCTCCTCAAGAAAGATGGCTAGAAACTTCCTATTAGGAGTGACTTCCTTTCAGGTTGTGTTGTTACAGGCCAGACTGTTCTAACATGGCAAGGGAGACGGACAACTAATCTAATACACTACAACTATGATCGACAACAACACAGATAAGATCAGACTGAATGTTGAGGATATGATTCTGGTTCTCTTCTGTCCCGCTCCTTCAATAAAAAAGAATCCATTCCAAGAGCTAGTTCCGACCCATAGTCTGAGCCAATCCTTCTATTGAGTGCCTTGTGGCTCCTTTAACGATGAAGAAGGCGATACCGAAGAGAATAACTCAAGAGCATTGGCTACTCCGTCAACTCAATTTCGTTGCATAAGTGAGGATGCTAATCATCTTAGTCTGAGCTTGAAATCTTTCGTAGGCTCATCTCGTCGATTGTCATTCTGTTCCTGTTCATTCATAGATAGTCAGATCTTTTAGTCACAGGCTATCACCCGTTCCTGATAGCCGCAGCTCTTCCCGTTTCGTATTCCATTAAAGAACGAATGATAATTGATTTGACAAAGGCTGGGGAAAATCTATCTCTTTCCATCTCTATGTTCACTAAACTCCTCAGCTGCCTTGGGTCAAAGGATGTCTTTTCTCGGATGTCGCCGTTAAATTCGAAGAGTGTAAATGCTCATTAAAGGTCTTAGACCAGGTGAGAAATAAGAGATACAAGAGAAATTATTGAGAATTTGGGAGGTGTCAGACAAATGTCTAGCACCTGTATCCTTTATACCTCATCACATAGTACTATTTTTACATATCTCAGTGTGGTACACTTCTAGCTATCTCACCACCTAAAAACATGGAACTCTAGTCTATTTCCGACCTATATAATGCTAGGATCTTGAATGAACATTTTGCCAATTTTCACTTATAACATTGATGAGAGTCATTATAATTATTTTGATGAAGTCCTTCTCAAAAAAATAATTATTTTGATGAAGTCTCATCTTCTTTTATAATTCCTTTATCAAGTTTCTTTCTTTGCTCTAGAGCAGCAGAGAATATTCAGTGCTATGAGTTCTTGTTTTACTTGTGCATTATCTAATATTGGTCCTAGGATTTAAGATGATTGTTGACGTTTACCTCCACAACCATGTAGATGAATGATTAACTGGGATTCTGGTATATGTCAGCGAATGTATTAGCTGCATCATAATGTATAATGCTTATATTAAGTTAGCTAAACTTTTAGGATGTTCTCCCATTACTTTTTAGTTTGGAACTGCAGGTTCCTTCTGCCAACCTCTTTGTCTCTAATATAAACGTCACTTGATTTGACTTAATTCTTTTTTTTTTTTCAATTTCCAGATGTTATGTATTGCTAATTTTGTCTCTCATGGATTTTATATTGGTGGTGAAAATTAGAATTGGTATTTTGCGCATAGAAGCTTGAAATGTACTTTAACACGCTCTTTGCTTAGACGATTCTGTCATTTGGGCACCATGGGAGGCTATTGATATCATAAACTTGCATTTGTGAACTTTTGGCCCCAAGGACTAGTAGACTTTGTTGCTTACTATTGTGTTGGTTCAGCCTCATCTATTTTAGTGTGCTTGACGTGGAGGGCTCATTTACCTCTCTACTGTCATTTTGATTTGAAACATATTATCTAATGTACTTTTTGCATCAATGAAGTTTATCAAGGCAATCTGCTCCTTTGGAGAGCTTGATTAGGGATAGTTTATTAGCCAAGCAACCTGAAGCTTATGAATGGTTTTGGTCTGAGCAAATTCCCGCAGTGGTTACCACCTTTGTGAATTATTTTGAGAAGGATCAGCAATTTGCTGCTGCTACTGCAGAGTATGTACTTACTGAAAGAACCATGAATACATTAATATCCTGGATAGCTATTTGTGTATTAATTGATGCTTAAATAGGATCCTCTTTGTTCAGGACCAGAAAGCAAACATTTTTATCTCCTCGAAATGCCAGTGATGTATCACTCCTTATGCTTGCACTCAGTTGCGTTGCTGCGATTATGAAACTTGGTGCTGCAAAACTGTCATGTACACAATTCTCGTCTCTTGTTCCGGACACACTTGGAAGATTGATGGACATGCTTGTCGAATTTATTCCTCTCCGACAGGCCTATCATTCCGTGAAGCCTATTGGTCTGCGTAGAGAATTTCTTGTCCATTTTGGTCCCAGAGCTGCAGCATGTAGAGTACGAAATGATTCAGGAACTGAAGAGGTTATATTCTGGGTGAGTCTTGTCCAAAAGCAGCTTCAACGAGCTATAGATCGAGAGAGAATATGGTCCAGACTCACCACAAGTGAGAGTATCGAGGTTAGACCAAAGCTCTTTTACTTATTTGATACCTACTCGAATTTTTTTCAAAGACATGACTCATGAATATTGACTGATAGTGGTACATTTATAAGCTAGAACAAGCAAAATCGTCAGTTTCTGTCCCGCTGCAACTTACTTTGTATATATATATACATTCCATTGATTTCTTAGTTAACGTAGAAGTACAAGCTTTTACCAAAGCTGGTACTCTCAACAAAACAAGTCAGCGGAGGGAATCAATTGAAGGGAAAGAAATGTTGCAGATCAGCGAAGTTCAAGGAGTAACTTCCACTATAAAAGATATGGAGGTGTATCGTATGGCAGGTGAAGTCGAGATCAACGAAGGATTTCAAGGGGAAGACTGCAACATAATAACAGAAAAGGTAATCCCTCTAGGTATTCAATTCCCAGAGGAGAACTACTCGCAGACAGCCACGCCGGCCTGGATACAACAACACATTATGCGCCTGAGTAAAGAGTTCGGGGTAGATTTCAAAGGTTGTGAGGAGAATGCGGCAGAATTATTTCAAAAAATCGACAGGAACAAGCTGGAAAACAAAGACATCCAGAATGAGCAAAAAGTTCAGAAAAGAAAAGGGTTAAATGAGCTGAAGAGTCTAGAACTGGACACCAATTTCATGAGTTATGGCACAAGAAGCAAAGGGGGATTTTTGGCTATCAAAGATCAATGAAGTTAAACATAGTTTCATGGAATGTGAGGGGGTTAAACTGTGAAAGGAGGAGAGGTTTGATAAGGAGCATGCTGTTAAACTGGAAAGCTGATGTTGTTTGCTTACAAGAGACAAAAATAGAGGGGAATATTTCCAACATAGTAAAGGAGGTATGGGGCAGTAGATGGGCAGATTTTGTACAATTGGAGGCTAGTGGAACAAGGGGGGAAGTAGTGATCATATGGGACAAGAGATTCTGGGAAGGGGAATTGAGTAGTGTTGGGGAATACTCTGTTTCATGTTCTCTGTCCCGAAAAGACCAAGACTTCAAATGGCATTTAACTGGAGTTTATGCACCAAATGATAGAGTGGAGAGGGAGGAGACCTGGTGGGAGCTAGGCGCTGCAAGGGGGCTGTTTTCTGGGCCATGGGTCTTGTGTGGGGAGTTCAATACTGTCAGGTATCCAACAGAAAAAAGAGATGGCATCAGAATAAATAGATCAATGACAGAATTTTCTGACTTCATTGAAGACATGGAATTAATAGATATAGATCTATATGGGGGAAAATACACTTGGAAAAAAGGGGACAGACACACAACAGCTGCTAGATTGGACAGATTCTTGCTATCAGAAGAATGGGACACTAATTTTAGTTGCATTAAACAATCCGTTCTCAGTAGAGTAGTGTCAGATCATTCACCTTTATTGTTACAGTGTGGAGAGTGGGGGCAATCAAACTCATACTTCAAGTTTGAAAACTGGTGGCTTCACACAGAGGGGTTCAATGCTAAGGTTAGGGATTGGTGGGAGTCTTTTAATTACACTGGCAGGCCTGATTATGTCCTAATGGCAAAGCTGAAGGCACTAAAGGGGAAGTTGAAAGAATGGAGAAAAACCATCCAAGGAAATCTGAAAATGCAAAAGGCCAATGTGTTGAAGCAATTAGCGGATCTAGAAGAGATACAAGAACATAGAGCTCTTGAAGAAAGGGAAATAGCTTCTAGGTTGGCTTTGACTATGGAGTTTGAGGACATAGCCAAGCATGAAGAGATAGCATGGAGACAGAGGTCCAGAGCTTTGTGGCTTAAGCAGGGAGATAGAAACACAAGTTTTTTCCATAGAACAGCAAACCAACACAGAAGAATCAACAGCATTGATAAATTGAAAGTAAATGGAGTGGAGATTGCAGAACCTGAAGAAATTAAGAAAGAAATTGTTGAATACTATGAGAGGCTGTATACAGAATCAGAAGAGTGGAGGCCACAGTTAGACATGAGAAATTACCCCAGAGTTGATGAAATTGATGGCAACTTTTTGGAGGCTCCTTTTGAAGCTGAGGAAATACTAGAAAGCATCAAAGCATGTGCAGGAGATAAAGCCCCTGGACCAGATGGCTATACAATGGTTTTCTGAAGTCAGTGTTGGGACATAATCAGACATGAGTTGGTAGCAGCTGTCCAGAATTTCCATGCTAGAGAATGTTTTGAGAAGAGCTTTAATGCCACTTTTGTTGCACTTATTCCAAAAAAGATGGGGGCAATTGAATTGAATGACTTCAGACCCATCAGTCTGGTGGGGGGAGTGTACAAGATCATCTCAAAACTATTGGCAGAAAGATTGAAAAAGGTAATTCACAGAATTGTCGACAGACAACAGATGGCCTTTATTAAGGGAAGGCAGATTATGGATGCAGTGGTGATAGCAAATGAACTGGTGGATTCAAGAGTGAAGAGCAAACAACCAGGCATAATATGTAAGTTGGACATTCAGAAAGCATATTATCATGTGAATTGGAATTATCTAGTGAACATGTTACAGAAGATGGGTTTTGGATCTAAATGGATCAGGTGGATCAAATATTGTATAGGTACAGTCAAATTTTCAGTTCTGATCAATAGAAGCCCCACTGGTTTTTTCTCCTCAAAGGGGGTTGAGGCAGGGAGATCCGCTCTCACCTTTCTTGTTCATTCTAGCAATGGAGGGGATGAGTAGCCTGATTAACACAGCAAAAACCAAAGACTGGATCAGAGGGTTCCAAGTGCAAAACAGGGCAAGTAACAACCTAGAAATCACTCACCTACAGTATGCAGATGATACCTTAGTTTTTTGTGAAGCAGTGAGGGACCATTTTCTGATTTTGAGGACCATTTTCATTATTTTTGAAGCTGTGTCAGGCTTTCATATAAACTGGGGGAAAAGCTACATCTATCCAATTAATGAAGTGGTACAAATTGAGGAGCTAGCCAATACGCTAGGGGGGCAAATAGGGGAGATACCCACCATCTACTTGGGCATGCCATTAGGTGCAAAAAGTAAGTCAATAAGCATTTGGAGTGGAGTGATAGAGAAGTGTGAGAGAAAATTAGCAAACTGGAAAAGTCAATACTTATCCCGAGGGGGAAGACTTACTATGATCAACAGTGTGCTGGATGCCTTACCAACTTACATGATGTCTGTTTTCCCAGCACCAGCTGGTGTAATCGACAGAATAAAGGTACTCAGAAGAACTTTCTTTTGGCAAGGAAATGAAGATAAACGGAAGTATCATCTTGTCAAATGGGAAGAATTGAGCATAAGCAAGAAGATAGGGGGTGTGGGCATCAGAAACATGAAGTTTCAGAACCAAAGCCTTATGATGAAGTGGTTATGGAAGTTTGCATCTGCTGAGAACTCATTGTGGAAGGAAGTGATTGCTGCAAAATATGGAATGAGGGATAAGTGGATGACAACAAAGGTGACCTCTCCCTATGGGTCTAGAGTATGGAGATCTATCAGTGATCTATGGGATTTGGTGCTAGAAAGATCATATTGTAAGGTGGGAAATGGCAGAAAGGTGGCGTTCTGGATGGACAAATGGTGTGGTCAGGTCCCATTAAGCCAAAGGTTTCCTGACCTCTACGACCTATGTCAAATGCAACAAGCAACTGTAGCCGAATTATGGAATGATCAGGGGTGGAATTTGCACTTAAGGAGGAATTTAAATGATTGGGAGATCTGCAGAATAACTGAGTTTTTGGTTACCCTAGCACAATTTAGTAACCTGTCTGAGGAAGAGGACTCACTGGTGTGGAATGTGGGGAGCAAAGGGTGTTTCACAGTAAATTCAGCATATGAAGATCTCAACTCAGTTGGCATTGAGGAAGTAGAATGGCCTTGGAAGATGATATGGAAAACCAAGATACCCTATAAAGTAAATTGTTTTACTTGGCTGTTAGCTAAGGAGACAGTTTTGACACATGAGAACCTGAACAAAAGAGGCGTTCACCTGTGTTCCAGGTGCTTTTTGTATGAAGAGCAAGGAGAGACAGTCAACCATCTCTTCTTACACTGCAAGTGGACAACCCAGCTGTGGCAAATGTTCACCAATATGAGAGAGGTTAAATGGGTGAAACCAGGACGGATCAAAGAGGTTTTGAAGTGCTGGAATAGAGATGGAAATGCAGGAAGAAAGGAGGAGAGATGGAAGATGGTCCCATCATGTATATGGTGGACAGTATGGCTAGAGAGGAACCAGAGATGTCATGAAGGAAAGCAGAGCAACATACAAAGATTTAAGCTTAACTGTTTAGCTCTGTATTATTTTTGGTGTAAACAAGTAGTCTTAGATAGCTCAGAAGTAATCAACACAACTATAAACTGGCTGTAACTTGGTAGGTATAGGAGCCTATGTAACTACAACACTTTTGGAGGGGAACTACACTTTTGAGGTAGTATACCTGTGGATAAATATAGACTAACTGTTACTTTTATCAAAAAAAAAATTCTAATATTACTCGCTATAAGTTTTTCTTGTAGATGTAAAGTGATTCTAATAAATGGTTGGTAAATTTTGAGTATGTCAATGTAATGAGGTGGAACACCTCATGGACAGTCATTTCACTTGGCACTTCTTAAAATGTCCTGAGAAATGGTGACAGATGACAGATGTATAAACATCGTTTGTGAACCTTATCCTGGGGAAAGTGGGCCCAAGTGAAGGACTAATCAATATATTGTGATATGTATTGAGGCTAATATGAGTCTCCTATCAAGGATAGATTGATTATGGCATAGGAAAAGCAGAAAAGCTGTATGAAATGTAAATTTTTTTGCTACACCTTTAGGTGAGGCCTTTGCCTCACACGTTTCCCACTTGAATATGTATTTTGTACATCGCAGTCGGGTTTTTATATTTATTGCTGATACATCATACAGGTTCTCGAAAAGGATCTGGCCATATTTGGTTTCTTTATTGCTTTGGGTAGAAGCACAAAGGCTTTTCTTTCTGAAAATGGATTTGATACTCTTGATGAGCCGATTGAAGAATTAATTAGGTAACACATTTTTGTGTTCCTCGTTTATTGATCTTAGCCTATACTGATAATACGCTCCATGTATCCAACTTTTCATTTTGAATTTTTAACAGGTATCTGATTGGGGGCAGTGTATTGTATTATCCTCAACTTGCATCAATAAGCTCTTATCAACTGTACGTGGAGGTTAGCATTCTTATGAAGAAATTGTCATTAGGACATATTTATGTGGCACATAAAACTGAAATATCTTTACATGATAGGTTGTGTGTGAAGAGCTAGACTGGCTTCCTTTTTATCCAGGCATTACTGCTAATTCTATCCGCAATACTGGGCACAAAAGTAAACAAGAAGTTCCTCCAAATTTAGAAGCTATTCCACTAGTATTAGACGTGTGCTCTTACTGGATCCAGAGTTTTATCAAATATAGTAAATGGCTGGAGAACCCTTCTCACGTCAAGGCAGCAAGATTCCTTTCAGTTGGGTAAGAAAGCTGGAAAAAAATCCAATCAATTAAGTGAATATACAGGAGTTAGTAACAATTTGTGAACATGAATGTTTCAGGCACAACAAGCTTAAGAAGTGCAGGGAAGATTTAGGAATTGAGAAGTAAGTTAAATAAGAAAATGTTTACTTTCTTCCTCTTCCCCTCTTCCTTACTCTCCCTTTTTGTGGTTTGTGACTGTTATCATTATTTTCATCCGTCTGTAAAAGGCATTAGACAGGTGGTTTTCCTATTAACAGATATAGACTGATCTATATTTGATCCTAATCGCCGTGGAACTAATTATATCTCTCAGGAAACATACACAAACTTTGCACCATTGACATGTACTGTACTTGGTCTACCTTGTTGAAGACCTAAAATAAATGAATAGGAGTGTTCTTCTCTAACTTATCTTTTAGATGGATCGATATAAACCATTTAACATGGTATCAGAGTATGCTAGATTTGAACCCTAGTTTGTTAGGTATTTAGTATCCAATTCATTGACCTCTAAGCCACACCTTTGGGTGATGAATGCATTAAATTACTGTATTTTTTCACTAAATTTTAAATGGCCCGAGTAAGTCCAACTTATTTAATTTCCTTAGCTTTTCTTTTTTCGTAGTTATAGTTTATTTGCTTATCGTAATAGTCATTACATTCTAATAATTTATGGCACGTTGGTCAAATGCAATGGCAATACAAACTCAATCACATGTGATATGAAAATCATATTACTAACAATGCTTTAAAACATGGACAGGACTCGCGCGGGAGCTTATTCACAGATCAAGAAAGAAACAGATTCCTTTGATAAGGTATTACCTCTTGTAATTGAAGCATTTTCTGTTGTATTTATCCTCATGCGATGTGATAATCTTGAAGAGTGTCTCTCCAATTCCTTTGGACATAAAGGTGGATAAAGAGCCTTCAACTTTTTTTTTTTTTTATATGGTAAATAAGTTTTTTGTTTTGTGAAAATTCCTGTGTACAAGCAAGAACCTACAACACGTAATGTCCTGTGCTATACAAAGTCATTTTTGTTTCCTCAAAAGCTCTTTTATTTCTCTCCTCCACAGAATCCACATGCTAAAGGGAAAATCCCATGACCTTCATGTTCTCTTCCTTCGTCTAAAGGCCGAGCTATGTAGCACATCCTTCTTTGGACACAACATTATCCGTTGCACACGGGGCCATTTCAAGACTACTCATCACAATCATGTAGCCATCTTAGTTTTTTTGTTTTTTTGAAGAAGGCAAGATAATTTTATAAATCCAGCACTAATAATGTGCTGTTGTAACAGTACATAATTAGCAGAGGCCCCAAAACTAATCCTGAAGTGAATCTACAATTATTTAGCCGTCTTACAAAGCAATAAGAGGTGATCAACGTCTTTGTCTGAACGTTTGCACCTAAAGCACCAGCAATGTAATACTACTCTCCATCAAATTCCCAGCTGTCAAAATCTCCTCCTCACTGCCAACCAAGCGAAAAAACTGATGAAGTGCTTGTATTAAATGACAGCCTATAAGTCCAGTATCCAACCAACTACTTTCCAGGACCTCAATGGAGAAGTAACATGTGTGCTAGTGGCTAACCAGTTCCTGCTCTCATATGGTTATTCCTTCCTTATATTTCCAAGTTATAGAAAAAAATGGTATCTCAATATTTAACTGTATGGTTGAATCGTGAGACCACTTGCTTATAGTTTAAAAGTTCAGCGGATAGAAGCCTTTCTCAATTTATAGTTGTTCTTAACACACACCTTTATAAGTGCAGGTCGAGATCTTTCCCCATGACCAAATGTGTAGAGTTATTTGATGACAAATGGCATTGAGGCTCAAATTTAGGATCTGTCTTCTTTCTAAAGTGTTGCTCTTCATCAAAAAAGTTCAAGCCCCTAGAAAGGAAGCATCACTATTTTTATACTTGTCCACAACATCTACAAAAAAGCAAAATGACCAAAAGAAATACTAATAGAACAAAAGAATCGTCGCAACCTCTGATTGTTCAAAATTAGTATTACTCTTGATAGGAAGATACAGTAGTTGAGACTTCCGTTGGTACTTGTTGGATTTAGATAATTTTTTTTGAAATTAGAAACCACAAGCCTTTATATGCGAAAGAGGAGGAGGGAGTGAGACCTTCCTCTTCAATTGGTTTCCCCAGGCTTGATTACTCAAATGAATTTTTTTTGCTCTAACTTCTCTTTACTAGGTTCGTCCTCTCAGTGTTCTCTTGATACCAAACAAAAGTAATCATGCAGTTTCTTTTTTTTTCAAACAAAGTGTAGATAGATAGCCTTCCTCTCTTGATTAATAAGATGTAACAGGCAATCAACCTCTTTCAATTATCTTGTTTTTTGTATCAGTTGCTATTTCTTATCAAAGTGCTTCACCTTGATTTCAATGACACATTGTAAGGTGCCTCTTTCCTCTTATCTCAAGGATTAAATTATGGATCTGAAGATACAGTTTTTGGGCATTTCATTTTAGGCACTGGAGAGTGTCGAAGAGGCTTTGGTAAGGCTAGAGGTATTGCTTCAGGAGCTGCATATGTCAAGTGCTAGTTCACAGAAGGAGCACTTAAAAGCTGCATGTTCTGACCTTGAAAGGATTCGTAGAATCAAAAAAGAGGCTGAATTTCTTGAGGTTTCATTTAGAACTAAAGCAGCTTTCCTACAGCAGGTATCTTTCTGCAGTTCATTTCAAAAGGAAGAAAGTTTTACCAAGTTTTTGCCATCTCAGAATTGTCCTGCTCAGTCCTGACATTTTCATAAAATTGCACCGTATTTTTGTATTCAACCATTGCATATCTTATTCTGGTGCTTGGAGTGTTAACTGCGCTAGATAATTTATTAATTATTCTTTTTTGAATTTTTTCTTATTTGGGGAGGGTGGGGTTACTCTTATTTTCATTTTTTTGGCCTTTTAATGGGGCTGGGGAGGGAGGGGGTTGCTCGGACTCTTCAAAAATGTCAACGGGTGCGTGTCTAATTCTCCAAAAGTAGTGTATTTGGAGAACTCGATACGGGTGCGGCGTCGAAAGTGAAGAGTCCGAGCAACTTGGGGGGGGGGGGGGGTTACAACTGGTTATTTGTTGTTGCTGGGAAAGAAAGAGATGGAGACTTCAACTGAATAAAATAAAATTCTTCTGTTGATTTATGTGGTTTTCTTTGGCAGAATACATAGACAACTCTGTAAACTTGTCAAAACTTATTAAGATACAAAGGCATAAATGGAGTGATGATAGGCTGCTAACTTAAAAAGGTCAACATCATTACTTACAAATTAGCTTTGATCCCCCTTAGCTTGGCATGGCAAGTTTCCTTGGTGAAACTTGACATTATATCAGTAACACCAGAAAATAAGAGGGCATACAAATGAGTAGGTGCCTACAAAAGGGGATCATTTTGTCACCAGATTGTCTTTCCGACTTAACACGTTATGTAATATATGAAGTTCAGATCTTTGGATAGCTTTTTTTAGTTTCTGTACTTCCAACAAATAAGCCAAAGCTTAGCGTAGCAATGCTGCTGCTATTTCAAGTACTCATTGAATTTAAAAAGCTCCAAGCTTGTTATCTTGACCAATAAAGAAATTCGTCACTGCATAATGGGGAAAAGAATACCAAATTTATCCCTTGCAGAGCACAAAATGGTGAGTTCTTTCCATGGAAAATGCATATAATCATCTTCAGGTTGCTCGTGTTGCATGCATAGGGTAATTAAGCCAACTTTTGCATCTTTTAGAGTCTTTAGGACAAATTATGTGCTGTAGTGAACAAAACTCTGCACTCTTAATTAAAAAAAATCGGAAATACTCTGAAGTGGATGTATGTATGAACTAGGAGGAAGATGCTACTATGTCTACATCATCAAGTAGGGATGAGCAACAGTTCTCTAAACGCAAGGACAACAAGGATGGTCAAAATAGGAGTGGGAACAACAGGTATTCCCACCTCTTTTTCTTATTTTGGGCTGTGAAGATAAAGGCCAAGCATGCCCCTTAGTACCAATATTATGCGTTGTTATTATGCTAATTCCCCCCGACACACATAATTTTATTATTGTGGATTCTTGTGCTAGGATACAGGGATTATGGAGCTTTGTAGGACGTCAACCTAGCAAATCAGTAGACCAGGCATCATCGACACCTAATGATATCGTATACCTTTGAACTGTCTCTTTGCCTACCTTTTACCATTGTATATTTTAGACTTCTTTTTTAAGTTTGGCATCTATGTTCGCAAATCCTTGTTTTCAGTAATATTTCTGATCTCAAATTCGTTAGGTTCTTTGATTGGGATGTCGTTGATTAATTTAAGATCAAAGCCTTTTGGGTCTCAAACTATTGGGAGTTTGATAATACTTTACTACGTAATATGCTTAAAAGGGGCTAACGTTGCTCCATTTCTCTCCTCTTAGTTTTTCCTTCTAGGTTGCAAATGATCTCCTCTATGCATCCTATTGTACATTCAGAAGCTGTTGAATAGTTTGTATGATTTAGTTTTCCCAGTGTTTTTGGTAAATCAAAAACTGTTGAATAGTTTATGGTATGGTTTTCCAGGCATTTTCAGGGTTTTATCCTTTTAAAGACTATTGTAGAGCTTCTGACCAACATGTACCATCTAATTTGCAGTTATATGACATTGATATGTCACTTGAATCCAACTATAACTGTTTTTCCCCTATGGATAGATGAATGCAGTGCCATAGATTTTGAACACTGAACATGCTTCTCAATTATGGATGTGTTAGAGTGATGTTTTATGGCTCTCAATACTAATAAGTAGTGAAATGATGAATATCATTCTTTGATCTGCAAAAGGGATTGGATAGATTTGTTTTAATGATTTTATTCATCTTTTGTGAAAGTAAAAGGACGTACCTGCTTCCTTCTTTCTCTTCTCTAATTTCTCTTGCACTGTCCGTTCTCTGCAAAAAGTGTTTCTTCTATGCATAAGTTATTCCTGTGGTTGTGTGTGTGTGAGAGAGAGAGAACATAGTCCTTTCCTTTGCTCCGTCTGTAGAAGAACCAAATTTTGTGCTTATTCTTAAATATACCGTTTTCATCATCTTCATTAGTTTTACATCTTGAATTCATGATTTGGAGAGCGGGAGCATTTTGTCCTTCTCTTAGCTCTTTTATACTAGAACCAAACTTGAGGTTATTCTCAAGTAACACCATTCATTGATCTGCCTCTTTTACACTTTGATTTCATACTATGGAGTGGTACCTCCTTTCCCGTCCACATGCAACTTTGAGATGGGTCAAAAACTATTAATTATTTCACATTGCTCTAGCTTTCAGTCTGGATAAATAAATGGGCTTACTTTGAACTCACAAATAATGCGAAGTCAAGGTATGACTCACATTATCAAAAAAAAGTTAAGGTATGACTCAAGGGTGTGACTAGTGGTCAATAAAGTGGACGAAGTTTAAAGACCCAAGGGTTAAATCCTAGCAGAGAGACAGCTATGTTAGGTGATTCCCATCTGCGTAAGCTTTAGTGGACAGAGTTACCTGGTACGTTGGAGTTAGCGAGTACGGTGGAATGATCGAGGTGCAAGAAAGTTGTCTTGGACACCTCCTTTATTAAAAACAAATAATGCAAAGTTCAGATACATGCTCAAATGCTTGTTATCAACCATTAGTGATAGATTAGCTCGTTAGTCATGGCTAGTTCTCCTTTTGGTGATGTAAACTACCCATCATGTTTCAGTACTTCAAGAAGCTGGAAATGCTTGCTTTTAGTTTTTGTTTGGTGAATGAGATGGGTGGGTTAAACTTCAGTCTGTGTAAAAGATATTCCATGTTGCTCAAACTATTGACTAGGCAAATATTTTCGCAATTCAAGACTTTAGCTTAATTTGTCGTTAGATTTTTCATTAGAGAAACTGAAGCACGGATCACTGGAAACCTGTGTAATTTTATGGAAAGCAAGTAATAACATGGTTCAGTGAAGAGTTGTCAAGCAAGGAACAAATATCAGTTTTTCCGATGATTCTGTTCACCTGAAATGTAAGCAGTGACATCTTGCTTTGTGTAACCCTTTTACTGCATACTGTCTCTTCTTGAGACTACTTGCAAATTAATGAAATTGCTTCCGTGTCACTGTTGCACATGCTTTCTCCTCCTTACGCTGGTCATTTGTTCAATTTCTTCTATAATTCAAATTTCTGTAAACTTGTTAAAGATGATTTTATCTTCCAAGTCACTGAGAATCATTCTTTAAGTGCAGGGTGATGATGAACCATCAGAGAGTACAGGCATTATGGATTCAAAGTCAAATGAAGTTCGAAAGTTTGAACTACTAAGGAGTGAGCTAATGGAACTGGAGAAGCGGGTTCAAAGAAGTGCTGATCAATGTGAATATGAGGAGGTATTTTCTAACTGCTGTATAAGGCCTGTGTCGAGCATGTTGTAAGATGCACTGTCTTTTTATTTCGCTTTCTTTTTGTCTCTTTCAAGTTTCATATTGTGAAGTTTGTTAATGTTTATTGAGACTCTACTCTTCCAATTTCAGTATAAACTTTTTAGGCTGTACTGATTATAATGACAACTAACCGAATAATGATGATACATAAGTAGTCCTGTTAATTGACATATATCCGTCCACTCCATTCATCTTGTTGAACATGGATTATCTTGCTTGTGAAAGCAGTAAAATATATTCATTAAAAATGGTTTTTTGTTCTATAATCTTTATTTCTGTCTATTTGTAACTACTGTTGTGATAATACTTGAACAGTGGAAAAATTATGATCATCTTATTTTATGCTTAATAATGTGATGGCCTATTTCGCCAGGTGTAGACCTTTTGTCAATATTGATTCCCATAAAATAAATGGACAAACTCTTATGTAAGAGGTTCAACTTCCAATTCTTTTCTAAGTCGAAGAAAACTTCCATGTTTAATGTGTATAAGACGTAGGTAGAGATTGATGCTCTTATTTTATGTTGTATGTGGAGTTTTAATCTTATAGTTCTGTGATCATCTTTTGTTAGAATCCCATAATTATCAATGACCCAACTTCATTTGTTTTGAGTTCATTTTCTATATATTTCCATTTTTTCCAGAGAGTGATGTTTCTGAGATACATGATCTGTTTATTATATCCCTGAAAATTTATTAGCTTCTTGTTGATGCACTCTACTCTAGGAGGAAAGTCAGAAGGCAGATCGCACTTCCAAACATTCTGCAGGAGCTGAAAGTACTCAATTGGTTCTTCAGAAGAAAAAAGAGAGTGTTATTGAGAAATCATTGGAAAAACTGAAAGAAACTAGCACGGTATTATGCACTTGATCTATTTTCTTCTGTTTTATGTATTGCATCATATGTCAACTGAATAAAGCCATAGTGTGGTTTTTTCCTTTGCTTTGTAACTTCATTTTCGTGGATTTACCTTTGAGAAAATAACATGGGTATGGGGATAGACATGTGGCCCATTTAATTAGCTTTGAACTCCACTAATTGTCTAACAAAGAGAACTTCGATCAATATGTATGGAATTGCATTCGGTTTGGGTTCCTCCATGGGCCTATTACTATTAGATAATTGTCTACTTTTTAATCGACTATTCTTGTTCTTATAGCTAGTGCTCGTTTTCTTCTTTCTTTTTATAGTACTTTGTGTGTTTTGATTATCTGCCTCCATTTGGTCCGGACTTTCCTGTTCTGGGTCTTTATTGTTGTACGTGGAGGGAACGGAGTTCTTATAAGCATTCAAAGTAGAGTTTATAATTTAGACTTTAGAGATTACACTACACATGTATTCCGTGTCTTACTATTCTGTTGGAAACCATGACTCAGCACCTTATCTTCAGGAGCAGTTAGTAGTAAGAATTCATAGTTGTCTATTAAGGCTCTCAGATAGAGTAATAAGGATTTTCCATGTCCAGGATGTTTTGCAAGGAACTCAGCTTCTCGCTATCGATGTTGCTGCAGCTCTAGGGCTACTTCGGAGGTCCATAGTAGGGGATGAGTTGACAGAAAAAGAGAAGCAAGCATTGCGGAGAACTTTTACTGACTTGGCATCAGTCGTACCTATTGGATTTCTTATGCTTCTCCCTGTAAGTAGTTCTATACTTCTATTCCATTGTTCTTTATCAGGCAAAAAAGTTCAAGCTCCACAGAACTTGCTGATTAGACAACGATAGTTCATATTCCAAAAAGATTGAAATTCTGCTTATTTTTATTTTCTGTTTCTTAAACAGTTTCATTGTCATGCATGTCCAAGATCTGTATTGAACTGAGGATATTAACTGTAATTGAAGACATGGACCTTTAACTGGCAATGAAACCCATTGATTATTCCCCGAGCGTCATGTTTTTTCGAGCTTGTATAATATATTACTAAGTGCATAGTAGTTGGTGCCCAATTAACTAGTTTGAAGGTCTTCCGCTGAGTTGCAATTAGAAAAATAGCCCATTTGAACAAAGCTCAAGCTCTCTCTCTCCTTCCACACCTGCTACGTGATTGCAGCATCTCTTTTACTCGTGTAGCTTGATTCAGTGCAAGCTGACATGGGATAATTTTTCTTGCAGGTTACAGCAGTTGGGCATGCTGCTATGTTGGCTGCAATTCAAAGATATATGCCATCTCTGGTGTGTAGTTGATCATGAATTTCCTGTCAAATTTAGTGAGCCTATCTGCTGTGTTAACTGGTTGATTTCCTTTTTGGCAGATACCTTCTACGTATGGACCAGACAGATTAGACCTCCTAAGGCAGCTTGAGAAAGTCAAGGAAATGGAAACTGAGGTGAATCCAACTGAAAAGGCTGATGAATAGCCCAGGTTAAAGCATACGAAAACAGCTAATCATATAGTTCTACCGTCAAATTCATTTCAACTTGGTTCTATATCCATTCAACAGTAGATAGGCGTAAAGAAGTTCATTCCAAGAGTCTGGCACTCCCGGTAGGCACCAGTGGCTGCAGTCTTGTGGTGCACCAGCCGGGGTGCCAGGTTCACGATATTTTGAAGGGTGACCATCTTTCCTGAACTCACTTAGATATGTGATGTTTAGGAAGGTCACGTTTCTTCTTGTTTTTTGCATTTTCTCAACTACCTCAGAAATGAATATATTGTTGGCTGGCTCTTTCTCCAGCTTGGTATAGTCTGTTTCTGGTGCTGTATTTGTGTGGCAATGGCCACCCTCATTCCAAGCTCCATCCCTGCAAATCAATTTAACCAAATTCAGTTCCACTAGCGTCAGTTAGTATACTGTATTTGTGTTGCAACTGATTAGTTCCTACAAAGTACTTACCTGTAGTGTACTGGCGAAACGCTGCGGAAGAAGATGTGACTCTTTTCAGGCTTGGTATTTTGAATCACCCACGACGCCCAAGTATTCAAGGATCTTTGAAAAGCCTCCACAACATCCATCGTCATGTTCACCGTTGTTCCTTCCTGGAAATGAATGCCCCTGCAATACATTTGTGTAATGTTAGTGATTGAAGTTCTTATGTTCAAAGAATCCAGATATATGTGATTATTGCTAAAGCACTTGGGATTCATACATGTTAATAGTTTTGTCTTCATTCCACCAATGTCCAGCATTGAATATAATTACATCTGCATCAACCCACTTTGTGAAATACCAGTGCAGCTTATCAAGTCTGATCACTCCTCTCACTTCTTTCGATGCATTCGCGGGAGGACGATCAACGACTACGAGGAAAGGTACTCTGTAATATTCAACAGTAAGGTTGTACTCTTGAAATTTCATAGAGAGATAACCTCTGTGTTTGGTTATGGGGTTTCCAAATTCTTCATATATGGTGGATTGGTTAGATACACCTTGTGCTAACATACATATCATAGATTCCCATTGGTTTCTTCCAATTGAATCTCCAGCAAACACTATTCGACCATTTCGACTACGTTCGAGGAAATCCTTTGCATTGAACCTGCAATAATATAATGTTACTCACAAAGAACCATAGTTTAAAACCCAAAATTTTCTAAACTCTAGTTCATGTCTATGCAAAGGATAATATATTTTTCTTGAATCGACGTCTCAATCAAAAGAGATCAAGATATGACCAGACTCTACTTGTCATTCAAATACTTCAAGTAGATTACAAAATCTTCCTTGAGGCCCAAATCATATCACAAGACCCTCCTTGAGGTCTAAATCATCCTACCTTGGAAATATAGAAGAAAATTTAAAGAGAAAAATAAAGCGGCCCTTGAAATGAATTTTAAGGAGGTTCAAATCATCCTACGTACCTTAGAAATATCAAAGAGAAGAATTAAGCACCTCTGGAATCACGAAGAAAATGCAAAGAGAAGAATCAAGAGAGAAATAAAAAGAAAATTCAGAAAAAAGAATCATAATTGTATCTACATTGTTTATTACTTCTTCTTTCTTCATATTTTGTTTGTAGTTACGGGTTAGAATTTAATTTCCATACATTAAAATTTATTGCAAACGTGATTCTCCGAATTAACCATATCCAAGTCAGACAAACGATTTGCCCAATATCATTGCCAAAGTTGCCTCTAGCAACCCAATTACTAATGTTCACAAACATTAGTAAACTGTGAATATTAAGATCCATTTGGCAATGATCTTAATATGCACTCAGTGTGAAAAGGCATAACAAATTAGGGTGAATGTAATCATAAAGCTACAACTTTTACACACCTCATGATTTCTAACAACATGAAAGCACTATATATCCATAAAAAAAAAGAAAAAGCCACATACACTTGCTTTGTGAATTTGCCATTTTGTTGCATTGACATAACTTCTAAGGAAACTAAAAGTCCTTCTCAATTTGTTACCTTTTCAAATTCCACACCACTTTTAGTATATGTGAAAGAAAAATAAATAGTTTTATTTGAGGGAAGGTGAGGAGTTCAAGAAATATATATTACAATACATGCATTGTCATTCTCATCATTAAATTATTATTATATTCATCTCTTGTTAACGAAACTAAGAAATCTTCAAAGGTTAACATTGCACAACTTGAAACTCAATCGAGTGGTCAATGAAGTACATTGTACACCATGAGATTTTAAGTTCAATTCCGTTAGACAAAACACTAGGAGGTTTCTTCCCATGTATTTTTTAGCCTTGATGGGTGGTCGTAGTGAAGCTAGAAATTTCATTAAGAGTGTTCAAAGTTATGACAAAAGGTGTTCAACTGGTCACCCTTTACTACATGTACGCCACTATCTTGTGGAACTAGTCAAGGTATGACAAAGGGTGTTCAACTGGTCAACTTTTATTACATGTACGCCACTATCTTGTGGAACTAGTCAAGGTATGACAAAGGGTGTTCAACTGATCACCCTTTACTACATGTACGCCACTATCTTGTGGAACTAGTCAAGGTATGACAAAGAGTGTTCAATTGATCACCCTTTACTATATGTACGCCACTATCTTGTGGAACTAGTCAAGGTGTGATAAAAAGTGTTCAACTAGTCACCCTTCACTATATGTACGCCACTAACTTTGTGAAATTAGTTTACGGTTATAACAAAGAAAACCATACAAAAAAGAAAGACAAAAAAAATATGTATATTTTTTAAAATGAATATAATAAAGCATGGAACATATATGCAAATAGTAATTAACCTAAATATAAAATATTTTCAAACAAACTTAATATTATTACCTTGGAAGATGACAATGTTGAGGTTGCCATCGCCACTTCCGGTAATCCATATCCCGGCGACCACTTTTCCGGCACCGGAAACCGGGATCCAAGAAAGGACAATTCTCATTATATTGATCAACAACATATTTTTCATCCCAAATCCATTTTCCATAAGAGTAATCACAAGTAGAATTTTTGGAAAAAAAACTAATATTGGCAATTACGAGAGGGTCATGATAAAGTGGGCTTAGTAAATTGTAGAAAAGAATAGAAGAAAAGAATAAAAATAGAAAAAATAATACATGATACATATATTTCTTTACAAATTTGAACAAGAGATTATTATTCTTGTTGTTGTTTTCTTGTTGATGAGAAAGTGGTGGGAGATCCATGAGAAGAGGAGAATATATTAAAAAGGTATGTTTTGTTGCTATGTATATATAAAAGGAGGATGAGTGGTGATAGGGAAATTATTACTCCGATTTCAATTTATATGATGTAATTTGATTTGAGTTTAAGTTTTGTGCCTAGTCAGTATATAAAACTTCTTTACACGGTCAAGTAAACTTTCAAATTAAGATTTAGAAAAAGATATTAAAAACAATTAGAGTCCTAGTTATACTCTAATTAAATTTTTTTAGGAGTATTGAGTAATATTATTTCCTTTTTTGGCGTAAATCAAATATCACTCCCTTAAGTAATCATTTGGGGAGTTAATTAAAATTTTATGGTATGAAATAAGTTTGAGAGGTTTGTGTGTCTTTCAATTATTTTCATTAAGGATAGAATTGAAATTTTAAAGTTAAATTGTTACTAATTATAAAAATGTGTCTTTTTTTTTTAATACGGATTAAAAAGAAAAGTGAATGTATAAATTGGGACAAAGAGTAATTGGAAATTAATTCAATAACTAATATATGACATAATTATTAAGGAAGATTTCTTATTAAGACACTAATATATGACATAATTATTAAGAATATTGTGTATTATACCCTTAATACGATAGAACAAATATCTTTTTTCCCCAAAATTTGGCTATCGTATATTATTATACTCATTATTATTTAATAAAGACACAAAAAGTAGTTTAAATAGATGGAAAATAGTAAAAAGATAACCTTGATTTATAACTTCGTCTAATCATGCCCTGCTTACACGGACCTAATCAATCTTAATTAGGAGACTAATTAGTGTTAATTAAACTATGAACATAATTAGAAGAGGAGAAAATTTCATAAATAGTAAAGAGATTAAACTTAATTATGCTTCATAGCTACAGTTTGCTTAATTACACTCCATAACTACATTTTCGGGTATGTCCGTTTGTATATTTTGCTTCCAATATACAAATAAGGCAAGTATATACAAAATTTGTATTTATACATTTAGGAATTTTGCAGAATTTTATTTGTATATTTCGCTTGCCAATATACAAGCAGGGTAATTTATTATGATTTTTTCATAACTTACACAAATCAAATACATCAACAAATTGTATACAGATAACTAGAGTAAACATATACAAAATCTAAATATATACAATTAGAAATTGAATTATACAAATATTGAATTTTTATAATTAGAAATCGAATAGCAAAATTTAAGAACTGTAGCCGTAAATCATAAATATACAAAACTGTAGATATGGAGCGTAATAAACTATAAATATTTTTTATTTCACGTAATTGGAGGACGGTTATGGACCTAAACAGATTCGAAGGTTGTTTTGGTCCAATTTAATTCTTATTTACAATTATGTGATAACTTATGAAGCTGCATTTGTGAAAAAGGGAAAACGGTGATTTTAATCTCTGTATTATTGTATAATTTTAGTTTTAGTCCTTGTGTTATTTGATCATGCATATTTAATCTTTAATTATTTAAAGTGTGCGGTTTTAATCCTTAAAATTAACAAAAGTTAACTATTTAACAGAATGATTATTTTTAAATATATAAAATAAATTAAATTAAAAGATTGGTGAATCTAAATACTTGAAGAATTATGTGTATAGAAAATTTTGAATTTAATAAAAATTAAATGTTAAAGTTTTTTAAGACGGAAAGTTCTTAGGACAACGTTGATAGTCTTAAAGAGCCTGTCCACCTACTAAATTCTTTCAAATGTAGTTGTATTTGACATTGATTAGTAACCATTAAAAAAGAGAGGAAGAACGAGTTGCTAATGAATAAAAAACAGAGCAAACAGAGAAGCAAATGAGACCAATTTATATATTTAAAATAATCATTTTAATGGTATATTTTTATAAAATATAATTTTAATTTTTATATACATAATCAAGCATTTAGAATCACCAACCCTTTATTTTATATACTTTTAAATAATCATTTTGAAAACTTGGTCTCAACCGATATTTATGTTATTAACTTTGTTGTTGCACGTAGACATTTAAACTTGTCCACATGCATACATTTGACGAAGCCAAATAGGGCAAATGGGTTCATACGAACTTTGATTAGTGGAAAATTGCACTCTTTATATATAATTAAAAATTTAAAATCATTTTTTTGTGTAGATATGGTAGATATATCCTTGACTTCTTTGAATGTTTATTTCTTCTCTTAGTAAAAATCTTAATTCCACCACTAATATTACGAATAATGTTAGCGTGGCAGAGCCATGGGTTGGTTACGAATTCGGCCCGAATGTTTAGTAATGGAAACAAGTTATACCGTGATTAGAATTCCATTAAATTCAAATTCTGCTCCCGCCTGGTCTGTTGTTCACTTTCAGTTTTCAAAGAAAAAATTGGAGTTGCAGATTGCATAAGGTGTTTGATAAATTGCCCGAGAGAGAAACTCAAACCATAGCTAAGCTTGATTTTGACAACTTTTTTATATGTATGTACGTGCAATTTCAGGCATGGAAGATCTGAAGTGCGGGCGTTTCTGCTTTTTCGGTCATTCAGTTTCATCTATCGATCGAGAAAACTGTGGTAGTAAGCTTCCTCAATTGTATTTCTAGGTTAATAGTAATGTTTTTCATTAATTGTGAATCCTCATATTTTGTTTGCGTTAGCAACCTAATACTATATAGTAACAGTTGATTATGATTTTTTCGTCAGGCTTCCCATACTGCTGTTTTAAGTGGGAATTCAGTAGAGGCGAAGCTATGATTTCAACTTGATGGAATCTGAATTTAATAGTTGTATATATTTGAGGCTGAATCCGCATGTGGACTATTAGCTCTGCTTCTGGTGGGAAGGACCTTTTCTATGTGGCGTTGATATGGTCACTGATTAGCTTTTGCATTGCTAAAACAAGGTATGGAATGCTTAGCTTTTGTATTGCTAGTCGATCGACTGATATATTAGACATACTGCAACTGATACTGCATCTGTTGTAGTTATTTTTATTAGTTGGAACTTGGAAGAACTTCTTATTCTTTAGTTGTATATATTGTTTCATGAGCATATTGTTATATGAAATGCATCAACTGACCTTCTCGAGAAGATTATTAGATATTACGAATGGAGCGTCTTAACTGTTAAGATACTATTATTTGGATGAAAATGCTAATTAGCTCATAACTATGTTTTTAGAGGAATTGAGATGATGATAGCATATAAAGAATCAGTTTCCAAATGAAAGGTGTAAGTGTTTCCATAATAGAATTCTAGATTGAATGTTATGACTTCATGAGCTTTTTGTTAAAGAATTGGATTTCTATTAGTTCAAAATGAGTTGGATTGCCAAAGATTAGCTCGTTAGTCATGCTATGTTTGAACTCTTCTTATCTTCTCTTATTTTGATAAAATTCATATGACTGCCTTTGACTGAATCCTTCTTGTTGTATTGTTTGTGGGATGTAAAGCAAAAGAACATGTTCATACCATCAGATGTTGAAAGGGTGTTATGAACTTGCCTGGGTAATTTATTACTTTGGATGTCATTTGGATCTCAATATTCTTTATTTGTAAACCAGATCCGAATATTAAAATGTCTGCTTCTCAGTTACATACTTCAAGTCAGCCTTACTACTGCTAAGGCCTAATGTATAGAATAACTGTGTTAAATGTACTACCAAGGACTCTTGAGGAATTATTGATTCAAAACATTCTATCGCTACACCCATTTTCAAGTATCTCAAATAGCACACTAGCCGTAAGATGAAGAGGTGTCTAATACGGCCACTCATTCGCTGAGCTGGCCGAAAGAATCAAGTGAAGAGTCTTTACTCTAAAGAAAAAGCCTTTTCCTATTCTAGAAATCCTGCAAACTATTAATTGAAGTGCTTACCAGTCACCGCTACAATTGGCAGAAAGTAATTGGCACTGCATCTATATCAATGAATATTTAGCTTTTCTTTAGTCCTCTTTTTTAGCACTGGCTTACTCACAGGAAGCTGGCTTAGCAGAAAGGTGGACTTTGTGTGTAACCTTAACAGAGAAAAAGTAAATGAACTTTGTCATATGCTTTAATACAAGATTGTGTGCTTAAATACTTGTGCATTATGTACACTTCACATGTACAAGTGTCTTGGTTTAGATACTCCTTATTATCGTATATAAATCTACTTGCACCTTCTGTTTTATACTGTATAGTGTATACCCTATAACCAGGAAGGACTTTTGTTGGATTTGCATTTGATAATGTGTTATCATCTTTCTTTTCAAGAAAAAAAAAGAAGAAAAAAGTATGTCTTACATTGATCAGAAGAACCTGAGTGCTATGACCTGTACTTGAATACAAATGGGGAGATTTCCTTCTGCTTTTATCTGCCTCTATTTTCCACCAGATGATTTTCGAATGTGCAGCTCCACCAAGCAAATTGGACAGGAAATGGATGAAGAGTTGCAAGAAGTGAAGAAATCACTCATTTTTCCAAGGTTAGTTATTTGATTGATTTAGGACAAATTATTTGACTTTAACACAATTTTAGTTGTGAAGGCTACAAATATTCCCATTTTTTGGGGAAACAAAACTATAGAGGAATGTTGTATTGAGGAATCCGATTTCAGTTTAAATGATCTATGTGAATGACATTAAGGTATATACTTTGAGCTTGAATGGTTATGGTATCATGTCAATGACATAAAATTTAAAACTTCATTTCTGAAAGAAAAATGGCAAAAGAAACTTTTTCAATACAATAGTAAGTAACAACAACAGCGTACCCAGTGTGGTCCGACAAGTGGGATTTGGGGAGGTTAAAGTGTACACATACCTTACCTCTACCTTGTCAGTTAGAGAGGAGGTTGTTTCTGAAAGACCCTCAACTCAAAGAAAGCAAAGACACAACATATAGAGACATAAGCAACAACTAGAAGTACGAAAATACGGGCATACGAGACAACAAGTAGTAATAGAAAAATAATAAAATATCAAAAATAATTCTAATACCACTAGCTAGAGAAACCAGGTGCAAAACTATCT